GAGCTTGCAAAGAAAAGCGTCTGGACTTCTTTAAGTTGCTTGAAGACGTTTCACCTCTCATCCGAGAAGCTTCTTCAGTTCTAAGGTCAAATGGTGGGGAGTCCCAGATAAGAAGGACAGACGCAACAACACTGTCATCCCCTATGTAGCCAGTGTATCAGAAAAACGCAGGAGTTTTCTCCAAGCATGACATCCCAGTGTATTTCAGACCCAGCAACACGCTCAGACAAAAACTGGTTCACCTGAACGACAAAACTCCAAAACACAGACTTAACAATGTGGTGTATGCTGTACAGTGCAGCGAGGAATGCCCAGACCTCTATATTGGAGAGACCAAACAGCCACTTCACAAGCACATGGCACAACACAGAAGAGCCACCTCCACAGGACAAGACTCAGCAGTCCATCTGCATCTGAAGGATAAAGGACACTCTTTCGAGGATGCCAATGTTCACATTTTGGACAGAGAGGACAGATGGTTTGAAAGAGGAGTGAAAGAAGCCATCTATGTCCACTGTGAGCCTGTTGGCTCAGGCGATTAGAGGATCATCAGGGGGTCCTTTTGTCCCTCTGTGGGGGGTCACTCCCACTAGGTTTATATCTGGGACTCTCCACCATTTGACCCTAGAACTGAAGAAGCTTCTCGAATGACAGGTGAAACGTCTTCAAGTAACTTAAAGAAGTCCAGATGCTTTTCTTTGCAAGCTCCTTTGACTACCACTTCTTTGCTTTCATGATATGATGATGCAACTTTAGACCAGATGTGCACTTCCAGTCTGTTGACTGGTATAAAAAGCAAATAAAAAACAAACCCAAAACCCGATGATTCATATCCATGAACACAAATGCACAGGCAGCTATTTGTGACTTTACCCCCCCACATTTTGCTACTAGACTGGGCCAGACCCCAAACACCCCAAAAAACTATTTTTTTTTTGCTAGCTTGGGAGTTGTGGAGGGTTGAGCTAACCCTCTTCCCTACTGTTTTCATTTGGTTGTAGGAGCTGGAGTGGGCAAGTTAATGACTTGCATGTCTTTGTTACCTTTCACTGTCAGGCATGTCAGATTTCGTGTTGTTGTTTTTGTTTTTTTTTTAAATCCTAAGTCAAATTTGTTCCATGTAAGTTCGTACTTTATGTTTAATGTGAAAATAAATGCAGCCGCCCTTTTCTACAAATCCCCTGTGGGAGAGGAGCTGGAGTGGGCAAGTTAGTGATTTGGAGGTCTGTGTTTCTTTTACTTTTCATTGTCAGACAACGCAGGAACACACCAGTGTAACCAGTTTGAAAAAAGAAAAGAAAAAAAGATCCGTTACCACGATAAGCTAATGTCACGTATTTTTAGCAATGTACCCCAGTACATAAATCCAAATTCCATTCAAATATATGATGAGTCAGAAAGCTTTAATGAGTCATTAGTTTCTCCATCAGTTTTACAAGCCGCTGCCAACATTGCTCATACATTTGAGTAAAAAAAGAAAGCTTTTTTTTTACATTACTGTAAAAGATTTTTTTTTTTAAACCAAACTTTTATTCAGATTTTTTTTTTTTTTTTTTTTTGCACACAGAACATGTAAACGCACAAACATCCACTCACTTACACAAGCATGTGTCCGAGTGTCATTACCAAATTCAGTCATCATTCCCCTGAAAAGGCCAGTTTTGTTCAGGTTTACACCTTGTCTTTTACTTTTAGTCTAGAGCTACCGGTTTTGTGGACTACATGTGATTGAGAGCGCTTCACTCTGGACTCATCCTTACACTTTTTTTTTCTTAAGCAGTTTGAACATGGGAAAAACCCCCCCCCCCCAAAAAAAACCCAACCAATTGATAGCGAGGTTTGGAGGGGGTTTCACCCGCTTGCCTCAACGATTAAAATAATAAAAGTAAAACAAAAGTACATGACAGTGCTCATGTCTAAACAATCAGTTTATTGGTGCTGCCTCAGAAAACAAGTTTATTTTGAAAATCAGTCACTAGGAATGTGTTTGTACTCGAGTTAAATTCTAAATAAACACAAGTTTATAAATGGTTCATGAAAAATGATGCTAAAAGTATAATGCAACAGTTTGTCCCTGACATTTATTCCGAACATTTAAATCTCTCGTTTCATCGTGTCCTACGTGGCGGAGCGTTCGTATGGATGGGTGTCAGTGGTAGAAGTGGAGTTATACTCCGAGATGATGTGATTGTCCGTGTGGGGCTCAAAGTCCCTCTGAGCGTATTTTGGTGGTGGAGGCTCAGAGTCAGGGGGGAGGTTATGTTTTGAATCAGGATCAACGTGGTTGGGGGGCCGGAGAAGATTCGGGTCCATGCCGAGTTCGGACTTTCTGTGCGAGGCGTTGAATGTAATGCTGTGTTCAGAGGGAGTAGAGGAGGAGGAGAAGGCTGTGTGGTTCAAGTGTCCGTCAATCAAACAAGACGAATGCAAGTTAGCAGGTGCAACAAGACCCACCGAGAGTGGCTTTCCCTCGCAGTTCAGCACCGACACAGTCTCCTCGCCTGTCCGTCCTCGCGAGGCCGGACTGGAGGAGTGGAAGTCAACAGGAAGCAGGTTCACGGTGGACGGCGTGGCAGCTGTTGTCAAGCCAATTAGAGTCAGATTACTGGAACAGGGGGAGTTAGGGGGTGAGACATCATTCTGAGTCCTGGAATCACTAACAGAAACGGGAAGTGATGTGTCGTGAGAGTTGACTCCTGAGTACATGCCGCTACGTGCCGGGGGACCTCCAGCAGCACTGCTGAATCGATGAAAGTCAACGGGTGATGCCCAGAAGGAGTTGTGAGTCTTATTCCTGCAGCTGGCGGAGGTAGAGTGAGCAGGAGCTGGCTTCTCTTTGGACCAGCCAGCAGCTGAGTGGAAATCAATGTCCGATGAAGAATTCACAGGATTTAAGTCGACGGGTGAGAGGATGGAAGATATTCCCATCGTGCTCTCCCTGGTGGAATGTAAAGCTGAGGAGTTTAAGGAGTAATAACGAGAAGCCGTGGGAGTCGAATCACACGCAAAAGAGGAAGAGGGAGCGACAGGAGGTTTGTGACCGGAGTGATCGAAGTCAGTGGTCAGTGCTCGGACTTTAGAGAGAGCAGCTGAAACGCTGCTCATGTTGGCCGGCTTGCTGCTCAGTGCGAACGTGCTGGTCAGATGTCTCTTCAGTGCAGAAATGGGCGGGATGGACTCGCTGTCGTCAGGCAGCTTCGCGGGCGAACAGGAGTCGGTGGGATTTAAACTATGCAGAATTGGTCCGGCAGAGGTGTGATCTGAGTGGAGGTCTTTGTTAAAAACAGGGGAGCGGCGTGGACTCCCAGCATCTTTGTGTTTTAGTGGTGGCGGCGTGTTCCTGTTGTATGACCGAACCGGGCTGGCCTGTTTGAGGAGCGGAGGGGCATCCCTCCCCTCCTTCCATTGCTTGAGTTGAGATGGCGAGTTTATGGACGTAGCGTCCTGATTCTGGACTGGCTGCTCCTCAGAGAAAGTGGATTTCCAGCTGTCCTGCTGTTGATGAGCGTGACTAACGCCACACGGATCTCGGTAGCGCCTTTTTTTGGAGTCTGGGGAGCAGCTGGCGTCAATGTCCAACGGGGCTTCACGTTTAGGTGCAGCGATCCTGTCCAGGTCACTTAGGATGGAGGCCAAGAGGTGGCTGTCAGAGGTTGAAGCTTCAGTATGTCTTTTATGAAGAAGATCCGTCATTACGCGGGCAGCATCCTGGTCTCCCATTGGTCGAGAGCCCACGCTCACAGAGCCCATGTTTCTGTGACTGTCAGCGTTGGGTGTCTTTGGATCTGTCGCTTTGATTGGTCCTTCTACATCAACATCCAGGTTCTCCACGTCCACCTCGTGATCACTGTTGTCAATGGCGATCAGTCTAGCTGCCTTGGAACGGCCCGCCAGCTCTGTGTCCGACCCATCGTATCCTCGGTCCAGAATGTCAACGGGAAGCTCTCCGATTTCAGCGTCCAAAACGCCGCCCACACTGGCCGAATGCACCAATGGAAGCGGAGGAAGGTCTGAGAAGTCGACGGTCTGCTGGCTGCTGAGTGGGCTGCTGCTGATACTGCCGCTATTTTTGTTGTTGGCGTCGTCGTGGGTGCTGTCGCTGTCCAGGGTGATGATGACCGGAGAGCTGACAGAGAGAAAGACAAAGGAATAAAATCAGCACGAGTATAACAGCAACAACCCTCATCACTTGAGTCTTCTGTGATCAATAATGGTGTTCTTCTACAAAGGGATCAATACATAGATCAATCCCACCTGAAGTACATATTGTGGTAAAAATCTTAACGTTATCCATCCATTCATTCGCTTCCACTTATCCTTTTCAGGGTCCCGGGGGGTGCTGGAGCCTATCCCAGCTGTCATAGGGCGAGAGGCGGGGTACACCCTGGACAGGTCGCCAGTCTGTCGCAGGGCCAACACACGGGGACAGACAACCATTCGCACTCACATTCACAGCTAGTGGCAATTTGAATTATCCAATTAACCTATCCCCACAAGTTGCATGTCTTTGGACCATGGGAGGAAGACGGAGTACCCGGAGGGAACCCACACAAACACGGGGAGAACATGCAAACGCCACACAGAAAGATGGTGGAATTGAACTCAAGACCTTCTTGCTGTGTGGCAACAGTGCTAACCACCGTGCTGCCTATCTTAACGTTATTAAAGATTTTATTCAGCATTTGTGAGCATTTATAGCCTTATTAGTGCAGAAGATACCTACATGACATTCTTTGGACTGGTGAACACATTTTAACTCTGCAGTAAACACAAAACTGAGTTGGTGTCAATTTTTAGCAGAGGTTAAAACTGCTTTTTTTTCCTGGAAATTTTTACTGTACTTACGAAGCTTACAAATAATACATATTTAATCCTTTAATGTGTATCGTATCTGAAGTTCTGTGAAAAACCCAAATAAAACTTTTAAGAAACCATCTGCACAAATAGCAGAAATTATTCATTTAAATTAAAATTTGTATCTGCAAAATGATATTTATTTTCCCTTTTTCTTCCTAGTAAAAGGTTCAGCAAACAGGTTTTTTTTGGCATTTAATTAATTGTTCAGGCTTTACAGGGTGAAAAACCTCAAATTTGGACGTTTTATTTGGGGAAATTGTAAAGTTCAGCCATTTCTTTTGTTATTAACCTCCTAGGACCTGCCGTCCACATATGTGGACATCACATTTTGGGTTATTTAGACCAAAATACTCAATTTTGCTCTACATGGGCCTGATATCCACTTACGAGGACGTTATACTGCCACTGTTCTATCAAAATTTGAAACGAATATCCTCATATGCGGCTCTTATTTTTCTTAAAAACAAAAATAAGGTAAAAAAAAATTCTTTGTTTTTACATTCATCAGGCCCCAATATACCCAAATATAAAGACAAATTAAAAATGCATGTCGTGGAAGAGTTCGGGTCTTAGGAGGTTAAAGTAACGTTTTGAACAAAAAAGTAGATTCTACTCATAATGTTTGCATCACCAGAAACAAAAATGAAATTGGACAAGAAAATTGCAGTCTCTGCACCTACGTGAATGTTCCCCGCAGATGGCTATAATCAAGCTTTTCTGCAGACAGTGTCTGAAGGTTAATAACGAAACAAAAGATGGAAGCTCTGCCAATGAAATTTTAATTCACACTGCAGTCAAACAGGCAGATTTCCTCAGGAAGGCAACAGAAGTGGAGCCATCATCAGAGATGGATGAACTCTCTAAACACAAAGGAAAGGAGCTTCAATGCTTCCTTACTTACCTCATTTAGCAGAGGATACATTGAAGCATCATTCATCAAAGGAAAAGAGATAATGACATCACAAAATTCCCAGAGACAAACAAAATACCTGCTAAGTGTTAGATGATATTAATGTTTACCATCCGTTACACGCTACAACCTGATGTTGACCCTTAAACAGCTGAACTCTGAACGCCATGCTGCTGCAACCTTAAAAATTACCGTATTTTTCAGACCATGAGGCGCACCGGATTATAAGGCGCATTAAGGGAAACAAAACAGTCAGATAACTTAAACTTTACTCAACTCATTCTTCTTGCCTTGTCTACTTCCGTACCATTGATTCATTAATGTTGAATTCTCTCGCAGCTGCTCTATTCCCATGTTGTTGCAGTATATTAATGACCCAAATACATGAATGTACTATTGCTGTGTGATTTATTACTATTACTGAAGGTTACTCGCCATACCAATACCAACTAGATATTTAAATCTTAATATAAATGAGTAAGAGTAGAGTGGACATTAGGTAAGGCTGCACTTTTTGCAGTAATCTTGTATAGAAAACTATTCCGCGCGCTCCGAACTGTAGTAAAAGGACCTCTGACTAATACGCCGGTGTCCGTGTTGAGCTTGTAGCCGAAAACTAGCTTTGCTTTGTTGTCTGGGTCAACTTTGCTAGCGAGAGACAGAGAGAAGCGTTGAAACGCTACTCCACTGGAACTTATTGTTTCACATGAACACCGTGTACAGTCAAGTCTTAATCCGATTGTTCAGTCTGACGTCACTAGCCGTGTCTGGGTCTAAACTCCGCTGCAGGTCCATATATCAAACGATCACTATGGCATTACTGAGAGTTGAAAAACTGTCTAAAGTCTTTCATCTTTAATAAAATGATCAGCGTTCTGCTCTACCAGGTGTAACAATTGAGTTTAACATCCAGGCATCCATGAAAACGGAATTTATGACATTTAACGGAGTTAGAAGTTAGCAGGAAGTTAGCTCGCTAGCTTCTATCTAAATACAATATAGCATGTCCTGACTGCGGGGTTTTGGAAACAAATTAAAACGTACAGCTCTGTTATCACTTCCAGCATAAATGAAGACAGAAAACTAAACAGCAGTGACGTTTGTAGGGTTACTGAAGTTGGGCTAGCTGGTATATAATGATGTGTTACGTGCCGCTAGCGACACAGCTTATGGCAGGATGCTGTAAACGGACCAAACATCAGGAGAACCACCGAGATAATCCATCCACAATACGAGGTTAGTCATTAATATACTGCTGCATGGGCCGTTCTGTAGTTACATCGTAAGGGTTTAAAACCTGAGCTTTAAAATGATTAGCGGTAATAAAAACCACGAGAAGCCGACAGTGATCACTGACTGTTTTTAGGGGCTTGTTGAGCAAGATACAAAGCATTAAAACATGTTAAAAACACAACAGTCTTATTAAATGCAGACTACTTTGGGCCTGGAAGCACGATTCATCACGTTATCACTTAAAGACCAGATACCGGTCATGGCTGCCCAAAGAACATCTGGATTAAGACAAACTGCTTCAAAAAGTTTTGGTACTTTACAACAAACCTTCTCAATCGCCGTTGCCATTGGCAAGCAGTAGCCGCATAGACACCAGTAGTTTTCCCTCATTCTCTCATCCTCGTGTGACGGATAGTTTTCATCTTCATCTAAACTAAGTACTTGTTGACTATTTTCATTCGCTCTCTCGGTTTGATCTGGTTCAAACTGGAAAGGTTGAACAGAAGCCATTTCCAGTGCACTGCTAACTGTGAACTTGATGCGGTGCAACCATATGATGTCACTACCCAGAGTGCATTGAGAAGTAAATAACAATGGCGGCCTACTGGTAAATGGTTTTATATAAAATGTGCTTAAAAGGAAAACATTTGGCGTATTTTAATACCACGTGTTATTGAAAGCACAGTACATATTTTAACGCAAACATGTCTTAATAGCCGGGGTTCCCTTTAAGAGAAGACGCAGTGCAACAGATCACTTTTGGACTAACATAGAAAGTAATGTCTTGATGCATTCTCAATCATCCAGGAAAGTAAATCTCCAAAAGCTGATTCTGTTCATCTGGACGTAGCGTTTTGTGGGAGAAACATTTCGTCACTCATCCAAGTGACTTCTTCAGTCTCAGCTGACTGCAGGTTTCCCCAAATCTTATAAACCACCCCTGGTTCATCGCCCAGGAGTTGCCCACCCCTGGGCAACTCCAGGCCTCGAGGGCCGGTGTCCCTGCAGGTTTTAGATGTGTCCTTGAACCAACACAGCTGATTTAAATGGC